AAATTAATCTTACCAACTGCATTCTCTATAACGAAGCAAAAAATCTGAAATGCTTACGAGTTTTAGGCAGGCCATAGCGAACTTTCTATCAATTTCTGATAAAATGGTAACCGAGACGTTTCATTAGATTTGGTCCATGCACTGAGTGCTCTACAAACCAGAACATGAAAACATTTGCTTAAGTATGTAATTGAAGATATACCGTGTTACTGTTGACAAAATCAGTTATATTAATGTTCCAAATTCTGTTCATGTAGCCGAGGTAGTGAAACAATCATGATGGTGGACGTTTACTTTACTTGTGTTTGAAGTCTTTATTGACCTTTCGTCAAGAGAGGTGAACAATCGTATACAGGTTCTGTTCTTCACAACAATTGAGTGTACATCTGATAAACCTGCAGAACCGGTGTCTGGTGGTTAAATAAATATCCCAGTAGTGTTTATAAAAGGTGTGTATTTATCTACAGGTAATACTAGACGGGCAATTATTGCCCATAACCAGACTTTAGAAGACGGGGCAGAACCAGGAAGCGATATTTCTATGTTATATCGTTACGTGTCATTAATAACTTCTATTAGTCACTGCTATTTAAGGCGAAATGGTCATAACAGGTTCTTCTATATACAGTAGGGCGATATGTGTCTGATTTGAAATCTGCGTAAAACAATATGAAGCGAGGATGTGTACCCATTTTAAGCAATCTAAGACAATGATATTTACCTATTGTAAACAATCTAAACGATGGTGTGTAACTATTTTAAGCAATCTAAGACAATAAGATGTACCTATTGTAAACAATCTAAACGATGTTGTGTGCCTATTGTAAACAATCTAAGACAACTTGTATGTACTTATTTTAAACATTTACTCAGAATTGAAGAGACGACACACTGGTGCACTTTTTTGATAGATTTAGCATTAGACATATTATGTATGAAGTAATATACTAGTATAAAACCATGCCATTAAACTATTCCTCCTTCTCTGACTCACCAATAATATAAGGCCACGAATGATATCGAGGAGGGATGTAAAGAAAATCCAAATCACAAGGGACAAACAACAACTAAAATACCGATATGTCAACAGAAGCTTCATTAAATCTCAAAATGTATTAAAGTAGAGTATAATACGGAAAAAAAGTACTGGCAAAATAAGACCAGATGTTCCGGAATGGAAAGCGTCTTCTGCTTTATCGACGTCACCTGCCGTATAAAAGATGGAGATAATCATTCAACTATTTTAATCAATTTGGCAAACGTTAAAAATGAGATTAACATATTTTATCTTGGGTGTTTTACAGTTTACCTGTCACTGTGGATTGTGTTTTATAGTTTACCTGTCACTGTGGATTGTGTTTTACATTTTACCTGTCACTGTGGATTGTATTTTACAGTTAACCTGTCAATGTGGATTGTGTTTACAGTTTACCTGTCACTGTGGATTGTGTTTTACAGTTTATCTGTCAATGTGGATTGTGTTTTACAGTTTACCTGTCAATGTGGATTGTGTTTTACAGTTTACCTGTCACTGTGGATTGTGTTTACAGTTTACCTGTCACTGTGGATTGTGTTTACAGTTTATCTGTCACTGTGGATTGTGTTTTACAGCTAACCTTCACTGTGGATTGTGTTTTACAGTTTATCTGTCACTGTGGGTTGTGTTTACAGTTAACCTGTCTCTGTGGATTGTGTTTACAGTTAACCTGTCTCTGTGGATTGTGTTTACAGTTAACCTGTCACTGTGGATTGTGTTTACTGTTTATCTGTCACTGTGGATTGTGTTTTACAGTTTACCTGTCATTGTTGATTGTGTTTTACAGTTTACCTGTCACTGTGGATTGTGTTTACAGTTTACCTGTCTCTGTGGATTGTGTTTACAGTTAACCTGTCACTATGGATTGTGTTTACTGTTTATCTGTCACTGTGGATTGTGTTTTACAGTTAACCTGTCACTGTTGATTGTGTTTTACAGTTAACCTGTCACTGTTGATTGGGTTTTACAGTTTACCTGTCACTGTGGATTGTGTTTACAGTTTATCTGTCACTGTGGGTTGTGTGTACAGCTAACCTTCACTGTGGATTGTGTTTTACAGTTAATCTGTCACTGTGGGTTGTGTTTACAGTTTACCTGTCAATGTGGATTGTGTTTACAGTTTATCTGTCTCTGTGGATTGTGTTTACAGCTAACCTTCACCGTGGATTGTGTTTTACAGTTTACCTGTCACTGTGGATTGTGTTTTATAGTTTACCTGTCACTGTGGATTGTGTTTACAGTTTACCTGTCACTGTGGATTGTGTTTTACAGTTTACCTGTCACTGTGGATTGTGTTTTACAGTTTACCTGTCACTGTGGATTGTGTTTTACAGTTTATCTGTCAATGTGGATTGTGTTTTACAGTTTACCTGTCTCTGTGGATTGTGTTTACAGTTAACCTGTCACTATGGATTGTGTTTACTGTTTATCTGTCACTGTGGATTGTGTTTTACAGTTAACCTGTCACTGTTGATTGTGTTTTACAGTTAACCTGTCACTGTTGATTGGGTTTTACAGTTTACCTGTCACTGTGGATTGTGTTTACAGTTTATCTGTCACTGTGGGTTGTGTGTACAGCTAACCTTCACTGTGGATTGTGTTTTACAGTTAATCTGTCACTGTGGGTTGTGTTTACAGTTTACCTGTCAATGTGGATTGTGTTTACAGTTTATCTGTCTCTGTGGATTGTGTTTACAGCTAACCTTCACCGTGGATTGTGTTTTACAGTTTACCTGTCACTGTGGATTGTGTTTTATAGTTTACCTGTCACTGTGGATTGTGTTTACAGTTTACCTGTCACTGTGGATTGTGTTTTACAGTTTACCTGTCACTGTGGATTGTGTTTTACAGTTTACCTGTCACTGTGGATTGTGTTTTACAGTTTATCTGTCAATGTGGATTGTGTTTTACAGTTTACCTGTCTCTGTGGATTGTGTTTACAGCTAACCTTCACTGTGGATTGTGTTTTACAGTTAATCTGTCACTGTGGATTGTGTTTACAGTTTACCTGTCACTGTGGATTGTGTTTTACAGTTTATCTGTCACTGTGGATTGTGTTTACAGTTTATCTGTCTCTGTGGATTGTGTTTACAGTTAACCTGTCACTGTGGATTGTGTTTACAGTTTACCTGTCACTGTGGATTGTGTTTTACAGTTAATCTGTCACTGTGGGTTGTGTTTACAGTTTACCTGTCACTGTGGATTGTGTTTTACAGTTTATCTGTCACTGTGGATTGTGTTTACAGTTTATCTGTCTCTGTGGATTGTGTTTACAGTTAACCTGTCACTGTGGATTGTGTTTACAGTTTACCTGTCACTGTGGATTGTGTTTTACAGTTTATCTGTCACTGTGGATTGTGTTTACAGTTTACCTGTCACTGTGGATTGTGTTTTACAGTTTATCTGTCACTGTGGATTGTGTTTACAGTTTATCTGTCTCTGTGGATTGTGTTTACAGTTAACCTGTCACTGTGGATTGTGTTTACAGTTTACCTGTCACTGTGGATTGTGTTTTACAGTTTATCTGTCAATGTGGATTGTGTTTTACAGTTTACCTGTCAATGTGGATTGTGTTTTACAGTTTACCTGTCACTGTGGATTGTGTTTACAGTTTACCTGTCACTGTGGATTGTGTTTACAGTTTATCTGTCACTGTGGATTGTGTTTTACAGCTAACCTTCACTGTGGATTGTGTTTTACAGTTTATCTGTCACTGTGGATTGTGTTTACAGTTAACCTGTCTCTGTGGATTGTGTTTACAGTTAACCTGTCTCTGTGGATTGTGTTTACAGTTAACCTGTCACTGTGGATTGTGTTTACTGTTTATCTGTCACTGTGGATTGTGTTTTACAGTTTACCTGTCATTGTTGATTGTGTTTTACAGTTTACCTGTCACTGTGGATTGTGTTTACAGTTTACCTGTCTCTGTGGATTGTGTTTACAGTTAACCTGTCTCTGTGGATTGTGTTTACAGTTAACCTGTCACTATGGATTGTGTTTACTGTTTATCTGTCACTGTGGATTGTGTTTTACAGTTAACCTGTCACTGTTGATTGTGTTTTACAGTTAACCTGTCACTGTTGATTGGGTTTTACAGTTTACCTGTCACTGTGGATTGTGTTTACAGTTTACTTGTCACTTTGGATTGTGTTTTACAGTTTACCTGTTTCTGTGGATTGTGTTTTACAGTTTATCTGTCACTGTGGATTGTGTTTTACAGTTTACCTGTCACTGTGGATTGTGTTTTACAGTTAACCTGTCACTGTGGATTGTGTTTACTGTTTATCTGTCACTGTGGATTGTGTTTTACAGTTTACCTGTCACTGTGGATTGGGAGTATTCACCAAGATAACAAACTTGACATTGGTATTGTTACTGTATTTGTCTTGTGTAATGTCGTGGATAAGCTCGAGAGTCAAGATTCTGTTTCCTACCGTCGGTTCATATTTTCTACTCACTGAATACATTACTTACACAGAAGTCCAACGGAGATCTGTCGTTTTCTTTTTTATTTTATTTTGACATCTGTTGTCTAGCAGAGAACGATATTGGATTGCCATTTTCGGCTGTGTCCGACACGACAAATACCAAAACGGCTCGATCTTATTAATCGCAAATTATGGAACCGATTGGAAATTTCCATTTCCCGTATAATCTGGAATCCCGCACAAATGATTTTCGTGTTTCACCATATATAGTTTTCCCGTAGATTAATATTCTGCTTACAGTGTTCAACGCATACAATCTTTACCTCTCAATGTTCCCTGGCTGCGGCCTTCTGGGGTACCTTCTTGACTGACAACATGTTCAGTATACTTATACTTAGTCAGTTTGGCAATATGTGCTCTCCTGTGTTCTCTAGCACAGTCTCAGTCTCTCATTCAATGTTTACTATGTTTGTAATTCCTAAAACTTGTTTATTTGTAGTTACGGGTGTTGAATGGTAATATGGCGGTGGAACTGACGTCCCTTATTGTTGCCGGAGTGCTGGCGGGTGTACTCTGTGTCATACTGCTGTTCGTTATACCAGTCGTTTGTTACATCAGGTAAGCTGTTATTCCAAAGTACGTAGGTGTTACTCATACAGGCAATGTTTTTTAAAGCAGAGTTGTCTCCCTTCGATGTGATATCGATATACTGTCCTGACGTATCAAACTTTTGAAGTCATTTGATAATCTTACCGTATCTTTACCGTTAAACATATCAAAGAGTGGGAATCGATGCCCAGTCATGTAGTAATATCGCTATGAAATCTAGACTGAATTGTCGAGTAGCTTCCGAACGATGTTTCTACATTATTTAAGGCGGTTCACATTCACTCTACCCTGGCCTCATTATCATCGAACTGTATAACTCTATATTGATTCCAGACGTAAATCGCCACAGTCTTCAACAAACAGTAGACAACCACCCAAACCTATGGCCAATGGCATTCCCAGGCACAAGAAACCGAGACAACAGAATGGGATCCCTATGTCCAAAATGAATGGACGAACTCACAGTCCACGACATAATTATGACCCCCCAGGCTCAGTGAGAATGGCCCCAGTCCACCATCCTCATGTAGGACCCGTGCCAATGGTTGGCACCTTTCGGGGACCACCCCCTCGGCCGATTATCATCGGAACGACGTCATACTCCAGGGGATCTTATCCGACAGGGATGTATCCGATGGAGAATCCACACAGAGGAAGACACACAAGAGGAACACATTCCAGCGGATATCCATACATGGCCCACATGGGTCACATGGCGCCATCACAGTATCCCCCTATGGCCTATCCTTACTTCTTCGGTCAGCAGTATCCAGTCCAAGTTGTGTACGTGTCGGACTCTGATGAGAGTGACTCTACCGCCTCAGGAAGGTCTACAGTACGCGAGAGAAAATCTAGGTATCATCGCCAGTTCGTCTCTCCTAGAGTTCCCTCCACGATAGTTATCAAGTATGTAGAGTGACCATTGTCCTACCCCTTCTGTTGAAGCTTATTAACTAGCGTTAACCTTGCACTGGAGCCTCGTAAGTTCGGATGAGGGCTGCATCTGTAAGGTATAAAGGTGCCTTATAATCTTCATCCTAATTCAGGAGGTTCCAGTGTACTTCATGGTAAAGGAGGATGCGAACAGCGTCTGCTTTGACAATTTTAATCAATTCTACATATAACCAAATATAATGATATAGACATCTGTATCGCATGTATTTTCCTCTTCCAGACAGTTTTGTCTTTGGTGTTTACAAATAACGAGATATCTGTTGTCAAACAACTGAACAGAAGATGTATGTGACGATGTAATTCTATATATATAGCTGTTTGTATTGTATTTCATTATACATGTACTCTATACGAAAAATTCTGCAACGTCAAAATATGTAACGATGCTTTTCATTGGTCAGGTGTTACTTAGTATTTATATTAACACGCGCATCGAACGACACTCTGTTCCAAAATTAGTTTGGGCCTTGCTCAGAAGATCATGTGACATTGATAAAAGAATCTTCCATTACTACTGACGTTGTATAATGTATTCGGCATGTTTTATGGGATACAAATCTCTAGATTGGAAACTGTTTACTAAGGTTTATGTTAAACATATATAGCCTCGTTGTTTGTATTTCAAAGAGACAACATCACATAAGTGATACTTCTTTTTATTTCGTACAACCTACTTTATGGGTTACTGTCATAATTTCTTTTCGTGCTATTTTTTATATTCCTTTTTAACTTCTAATGTTTAAAAGAAGATTAATTACTATCTTCTAGATAGTCAAAGGGAGGTGTAACAAAGAACTAGTTAGTCAAGGGGAGGTGTAAAAAAGTACTAGTTAGTCAAAGGGAGATGTAACAAAGTACTAGTTAGTCAAGGGGAGGTGTAACAAAGTACTAGTTAGTCAAAGGGAGATGTAACAAAGTACTAGTTAGTCAAGGGGAGGTGTAACAAAGTACTAGTTAGTCAAGGGGAGGTGTAACAAAGAACCAGTCAGTCAAGGGGAGGTGTAACAAAGTACTAGTTAGTCAAGGGGAGGTGTAACAAAGTACTAGTTAGTCAAGGGGAGGTGTAACAAAGTATTAGCTAGTCAAGGGGAGGTGTAACAAAGGACTAGTTAGTCAAAGGGAGGTGTAACAAAAAACTAGTTAGTCAAGGGGAGGTGTAACAAAGAACTAGTTAGTCAAGGGGAGGTGTAACAAAGTACTAGTTAGTCAAGGGGAGGTGTAACAAAGAACTAGTTAGTCAAGGGGAGGTGTAAAAAAGTACTAGTTAGTCAAAGGGAGGTGTAACAAAGTACTAGTTAGTCAAGAGGAGGTGTAACAAAGAACTAGTTAGTCAAGGGGAGGTGTAAAAAAGTACTAGTTAGTCAAAGGGAGGTGTAACAAAGTACTAGTTAGTCAAGGGGAGGTGTAACAAAGAACTAGTTAGTCAAGGGGAGGTGTAACAAAGTACTAGTTAGTCAAGGGGAGGTGTAACAAAGTACCAGCTAGTTAAGGGGATATTAACAAAGGATTCGTTTTTTATATACAAGACAAGGTTAATTTGATGCAATATCGTAATTATTAACAAATGGGAAGATATTAGATACTGGTGCTATGGTTTATACCTGAGAGATGTTTTTTTTAAATACATGGTTTTTAATTTGATCCAAAAAAGGAGAGGATAAATACTAACGAGGATTATTAAGATGTTAACAACTTACCTGATCATTCGTATAGGGTGGTGGTTACCGAATTAACAATTATATTACCACAACTAATCAATGACATCGAGTACAAAAAGGTGGTGACTATCTCTCTATACACATTAACAAACGAGGTAAATTTCTCTACGTTTTATGGTATCATTACAGCGATAGTTCCTCGGAAACAGTTATCTCAGGGTATGTATATCAGTTACCAGAACATCGCATGGTTGCCTCTGCTTTATACAAAGCAACACGAAAATCGCATTTGTACAAGTATGCCTAAAATTGGAGACTGTTTGCTTCTCGGAAATGGAGTGTTGGCTTACATTTATGTAAACTGGATTGGGTTAAAGTATGTCTATAGTCAAATATACTGGCGTGAGGTGTAAGTGAAACGAAATAAAATATTGATATGCAGCTTAGATCATAACAATATGTCAATCTGTGACCGTAAATCTTGCATGTTTTATGAGATATTTAATCTCATTCAGACTTTCGAAATGTTTTACATGCTATCTTCTTTACATCATGAAACACGTTATACCTTCGTCATTGTAACAGTGTTGTCAGTATACCGTATTGTCATGGTAACAGTGTTGTCAGTATACCGTATTGTCATGGTAACAGTGTTGTCAGTATACCGTATTGTCATTGTAAGAGTGATGTCAGTATACCGTATTGTCATTGTACGAGTGATGTCAGTATACCGTATTGTCATGGTACGAGCGTCAGTATACCGTGTTGTCAAGGTACGAGTGATGTCAGTATACCGTATTATCATGGTACGAGTTATGTCGGTATATCGTATTGTCATGGAAGCAGTGATGTCAGTATACCGTATTGTCATTGTAAGAGTGATGTCAGTATACCGTATTGTCATTGTAAGAGTGTCAGTATACCGTATTGTCATGGTACGAGTGATGTCAGTATACCGTATTGTCAAGGTACGAGTGATGTCAGTATATCGTATTGTCAAGGTACGAGTGATGTTAGTATACCTCATTGTCACGTGACGTCTACAGTTACTAACCTTTAATAAGTATTCTGACCCATATTAATCTGTCTAGTTTTCTAAAACATCTTAGTTTAGTGTTTGTCCTGAAACATTCATTCCTTTCATCATGTACGGAGACAAATGTGATAAACTGATTTTCATAAATTTACTTCATTGATTGATTTCTCTAGAACAAACATTCTAATGTTGCTTTATTTTCTGGATATCCTAAACACTTTCTGGAACATTCTTTAATCTGTTTCTGGAATATTTTCAATTCTTATTTCAGTTCTGAAACAATTCTTAATATTGAATGGCGTTTTCAAACATTCATACCTTTGTTTGGTCTTCTGAAACAGTCTTGAATCTTTTATTGGTTTTCTGAAACATTTTTTAACACTTTGATTTTCTGAAACATTTTAACACTTTGATTGGTTTTCTGAAATATTTTAACACTTTGATTGGTTTTCTGAAACATTTTTAACACTTTGATTGGTTTTCTGAAATATTTTAACACTTTGATTGGTTTTCTGAAATATTTAAACACTTTGATTGGTTTTCTGAAACATTTTTAACACTTTGATTAAACGTCTGAAACATTTTTAACACTTTGATTGGTTTTCTGAAACATTTTTTACACTTTGATTGGTTTTCTGAAACATTTTTAACACTTTGATTGGTTTTCTGAAATATTTTAACACTTTGATTGGTTTTCTGAAACATTTTTAACACTTTGATTGGTTTTCTGAAACTTTTTTTACACTTTGATTGGTTTTCTGAAACATTTTTAACACTTTGATTAGTTTTCTGAAACATTTTTAACACTTTGATTGGTTTTCTGAAACATTTTTAACACTTTGATTAGTTTTCTGAAACATTTTTTACACTTTGATTAGTTTTCTGAAACATTTTTTACACTTTGATTGGTTTTCTGAAACATTTTTAACACTTTGATTAAATGTCTGAAACATTTTTAACACTTTGATTGGTTTTCTGAAACATTTTTTACACTTTGATTTTCTGAACATTTTAACACTTTGATTGGTTTTCTGAACATTTTAACACTTTGATTGGTTTTCTGAAACATTTTTAACACTTTGATTAAATGTCTGAAACATTTGTAACACTTTGATTGGTTTTCTGAAACATTTTTTACACTTTGATTGGTTTTCTGAAACATTTTTAACACTTTGATTGGTTTTCTGAACATTTTAACACTTTGATTGGTTTTCTGAAATATTTTTAACACTTTGATTAAATGTCTGAAACATTTTTAACACTTTGATTGGTTTTCTGAAACATTTTTTACACTTTGATTGGTTTTCTGAAACATTTTTAACACTTTGATTGGTTTTCTGAAACATTTTTTACACTTTGATTGGTTTTCTGAAACATTTTTAACACTTTGATTAAATGTCTGAAACATTTTTAACACTTTGATTGGTTTTCTGAAACATTTTTTACACTTTGATTTTCTGAACATTTTAACACTTTGATTGGTTTTCTGAACATTTTAACACTTTGATTGGTTTTCTGAAACATTTTTAACACTTTGATTAAATGTCTGAAACATTTTAACACTTTGATTAGTTTTCTGAAACATTTTTTACACTTTGATTGGTTTTCTGAAACATTTTTAACACTTTGATTGGTTTTCTGAAACATTTTTAACACTTTGATTAAATGTCTGAAACATTTTTAACACTTTGATTGGTTTTCTGAAACATTTTTTACACTTTGATTGGTTTTCTGAAACATTTTTAACACTTTGATTAAATGTCTGAAACATTTTTAACACTTTGATTGGTATTTTGAAACTTTTTTTAAGATATATTTTCACTTTGACTGGAGGTCTGAATAATTGTAACTTCAATGAAATATTCTTTACACTTTGATTGGTGGTTCTGAAATATTCCTAATTTAGGTTGATTTACTGGATATTTCAGTGAACACTTTTATCGGTTTCCTAAAACATTCTTTCGATCTATAAACATTTTAAACAATTTGCATGATTTTCTGATATCTTCATAACTTCAAATGGATTTTCTGTGACATTTCGGATTTGGACAAGAATCCTGAAAAAGAACACCGTTCTTGGATTTTTTTGAAAGAATCTAAAATTAAGTTCGAGTTCTGAAGAATTCTTAACATTGAGAAGTACATAGCAATATTCAATAAATTTGCTACATTTTTAAAAAACTTTTTACACTGGAAATTGTTGCTGTAGGAAATCATGGCGCTCTATATCTGTTATAATTTTGATTTGTTTTAGATACCAGACTAATGAAGAATTTTTTTTTTCATTTTCAGAGAAATGGATGAAGATCGAGAAGCGGTAGGTTCTGTTTCCATTGTTGACTCGATATAGCATTAAATATTCGTCATTCCTTACCCGATTCTCCATAGCGATGATACCCATTAAATATTCGTCATTCCTCACCAGCTTCTCCATAGTGATAATACCCATTGAATACTCGTCATTCCTTACCAGCCTCTCCATAGTGATAATACCCATTGAATACTCGTCATTCCTCACCAGCTTCTCCATAGTGATAATACCCATTGAATACTCGTCATTCCTCACCAGCTTCTCCATAGTGATAATACCCATTGAATACTCGTCATTCCTCACCAGCTTCTCCTTAGTGATAATACCCATTAAATATTCGTCATTCCTTACCAGCCTCTCCATAGTGATAATACCCATTAAATATTCGTCATTCCTCACCAGCTTCTCCATAGTGATAATACCCATTGAATACTCGTCATTCCTCACCAGCTTCTCCATAGTGATAATACCCATTGAATACTCGTCATTCCTCACCAGCTTCTCCTTAGTGATAATACCCATTGAATACTCGTCATTCCTCACCAGCCTCTCCATAGTGATAATACCCATTGAATACTCGTCATTCCTCACCAGCTTCTCCATAGTGATAATACCCATTGAATACTCGTCATTCCTTACCAGCCTCTCCATAGTGATGATGTCGCAGCCCGTTGAATAATGGTCTTTAGAACAACTGATTGTGTGATTGGACATTCTAGTTATATTTTCAGACTTTGATATGTACTAAATTTAATATTTTGGTATTATGTATCATAAAGTTATTAGCTGACTAGAGTTATTAGTAAATCTTGGCATATCAAAATAGTTCCATATCTACGTGTTAGTTGTTGATAAACATGAAATTTCTTATCTCTCCAGTCGAGACAGCCCCGCGATGTCCAGAGAAAACGACCAGACTCCCCTTTAAGAGAGGAGCCTGTGGTGTTGCGGGATCGATCCCCGTCCCGTTCTCGCTCTCGTAGCCCGCCTACGATGCCATTCTATCAGGATCTGAGAACGACGACACGACCCCCAGAAAGCCCAGCACGTAAGGACGAAAATGAGGTTAGCTCTGAGTTCGGTATGTTTCACCCAGCAGCTGGACCAAAATCAGGGGACGTAATTTACGCTCCGAAGAGTAACAAACCTAAGGAACGGGATCCGAGTCCAGAACCTGAAGGTTACACCTACGCTACTGTTATCAAACCTCAACCAGTGAAAGCCAAGAGTCGACAATCAGATGACTGGGGTGAGCCGGACCAAGATCTTGGTCCTACGTCACAAAATATTGGTTTGTCCATGTCGGAACGCCTACAGGGCATCGTTGAGGACGGCTGGGGCACGAATCCTCCAACAGAGATGCCATCTCAAGATCTTTCGCGGAGAAACGGCGACGTTGACATTCGAAAATCTACAAGAGAAGATAATGAAGATGCTTTTCCGCAAACTAGACAGCCCGATGAGAATCCATACACACGTACCGTCAGTAGATCCCCACCACCCTCACCTCCTCTGGACATCCCTAGTGCCGCAGCATCTCCGCGAGAATCCTTCATCAGGGACTACCCCAACAGTGAGCCGCACTCACCCGATAGACCCGTCACCCCACCATTCGACGGAATCACGCCGAGACCTTCGGTCAAGTCCAGGTCAGAATCACCCCCTCGACCGAGTACTTCGGCCAATCCAATGTCACAATCACAGAGCGAAAGAGCACACAGGTCCATGTTTTCTAACGACGTCCTGAAGGAGCTAAAACAACGGCAGAAATCAACCGAGGATTTAGTCGATGATGACGACTCTCATTCAAGATCTGTAAACTTTTCACCGTCACCCCCTACTATAATATCACAGGACAATTCAGTTGCTCCCCCTCCCCTGCCTGCTGGTATACCTGTCCCTCCCCCTCCTCCTCCCTTACCGCTATAGATGGCCTATTATAACTGTGCGCCACTCCATATGCTATACACTACACAGGTATGTAAACTTGATGGAAACCCTGTTTTCCTATGACGTTCCGTCTGTCTACTGTACTCAACATAGATACATTTACCAGATACATTATTGTATGTTATAATCTTAACGCATATTGCAATCTTCCGGTCTTTCTTCATTTTATAAATGTGAGGTAGTTCCTGGAACATATTTCCGACAACGATCCACAGATGGAGCCGAGGAGCAGAATATGAAATATATATTTTTGTAGACTTTGAAGGATACTACGGATTGACCGTTTTCTATATTGTATGTATTGTGACGTTTGTTCTGGAGAAAGTGGCAATAACGCGGACTGTCATTCTCTTGTTTTTCCGTAAAAGTTGTAAATGAATGTACGATGTATTTTTTTATATCAGTAAAGGAGAGAAAGTGATTAGATAAGAAATGTGATTTCCTACTTATAATTACCTGCAATATGTAAATGTATTCAGATACTACTTATTATAAAAGTCACATACTAGCATAAAATGTTGTCGACGTTGTAAATAAGCCATGTTACGTTTGTGTGTTCACTCATTTAAAGTGATGTATATGTTCAATCACGTAAACAAAATATAGCTGCTGCAACTTTAACAATGAGAAAAAATACTAACATAGTACTGAAATCAAAATAAATGTAGTTGACTGCTGTTGACTGTTCATGTCAAGAGGGTGGTTGCCATGGCTTCGTCAGTACCACAGCTGGTTGCTAGGATACCCTTTATGTCACCAACCCTGTCCCCACAAACGTGTAACGACCCTGTTCTTTTGGTAATACCGTTCACAGACTTGTGTAACCAAGGAGTTTTAAAATATGCTGTTCTTTACATCCTTCATGTAGACTCGATTGGACGTGTCAAGAGAGGTAATCGATGTGATGTACACCCGTCCACAGAGAATATATCTAAAACCTGGTATCAAGACATCCGATTCATTTTTTATTACAGTTGACTTTAAGGCCTATCAGTCAACAAATTCAAGGATACATTTCACAGCATGACGTATACAAAACAGAGAAAATGAAAATAAAAACAAAAAAGAATGAAACGTAAGCAAACATATTTGTTCTGAATAGACACAAAAGTTGCCTAGTGACAAAAGCACGAGAATGTGACCTATACAAAAATGTCTTCCATTATATTACTTATGGTACGTAACGTATCAGAATTAACATAGCCACCCATCCCCCCTATACCATTTCCAACACCATTCCCTGCCAACTCTCAACACCATTCCCCACCCACTCGGCACCATTCCCGGCCCCTCCAGACACCTTTCCCTGCCCCCTCCTGACACCATTCCTGTCTCCTCCCGACGTCATTCGTTAAGTGTCAGTGTTCAGATGATTGTTACGCGATTGTTCAGTAAATCTGACATTTGTGATGAATTTATATCATATTTACCTGATGTTGATCATAATCATATGAAATAATAAACATATTTTTAGAATATAAATCTGTGTGCTTGGTGTTCTTTATCGTAACGAGGTGGATGTTTTGGGGATCGTAACCAGTGACGTTGAGGATAACAATGAACATGATGTAAGTAGGATGGGTCCATTTATCTACAGACCTACGTTTTTATATAATGTACATATAAAACACAGAATAAGTGATAATTCCTTTAGTCATTCATCAAAAACACATTCTATTGTTTTACTTTTAATGTCTTCTTGCTTGAGCAACGTGTAATGATTTTCCAGTACATCTGATGTAGTTCTGTGTCGGTAATATATTGTCAGGGTAATATTTCTCCAATACTTCTGATGTAGTTCTGTGTCGGTAATATATTGTCAGGGTAACAATGACAGTAATATCTAGTCAGTCAGGGTAATGATTTTCCAGTACTTATGATGTAGTTCTGTGTCGGTAATATATTGTCAGGGTAATATTTCTCCAGCACATCTGATGTCGTTTTCAAACACTGACAGTAATATCTAGTCTGTCAGGGTAATAATTCTCCGATACATCTGATGTCGTCTCAAACACTGTCGGTAATATCTAGTCAGTCAGAGTAATAATTCTCAGTACATCTGATGTCGTTCTCAAACACTGACAGTAATATCTAGTCAGTCAGAGTAATGATTCTCAGTACATCTGATGTCGTTCTCGAACACTGTCGGTAAAATCTAGTCAGTCAGGGTAATAATTCTCCAGTACATCTGATGTCGTTCTCAAACACTGACAGTAATATCTAGTCAGTCAGGGTAATGATTCTCCGATACATCTGATGTCGTTCTCAAACACTGACAGTAATATCTAGTCAGTCAGAGTAATAATTCTCAGTACATCTGATGTCGTTCTCAAACACCGTCGGTAATATCTAGTCAGTCAGGGTAATGATTCTCCGATACATCTGATGTCGTTCTCAAACACTGACAGTAATATCTAGTCAGTCAGAGTAATAGTTCTCAGTACATCTGATGTCGTTTTCAAACACTGACAGTAATATCTAGTCAGTCAGGGTAATGATTCTCCGATACATCTGATGTCGTTCTCAAACACTGTCGGTAAAATCTAGTCAGTCAGAGTAATGATTCTCCAGTACATCTGATGTCGTTTTCAAACATTGACAGTAATATCTAGTCAGTCAGAGTAATAATTCTCCAGTACATCTGATGTCGTTCTCAAACACTGTCGGTAATATCTAGTCAGTCAGAGTAATAATTCTCAGTACATCTGATGTCGTTTTCAAACATTGACAGTAATATCTAGTCAGTCAGAGTAATAATTCTCCAGTACATCTGATGTCGTTCTCAAACACTGTCGGTAATATCTAGTCAGTCAGAGTAATAATTCTCAGTACATCTGATGTCGTTCTCAAACACTGACAGTAATATCTAGTCAGTCAGAGTAATGATTCTCCGATACATCTGATGTCGTTCTCAAACACTGACAGTAATATCTAGTCAGTCAGGGTAATAATTCTCCAGTACATCTGATGTCGTTCTCAAACACTGTCGGTAATATCTAGTCAGTCAGGGTAATAATTCTCCAGTACATCTGATGTCGTTCTCAAACACTGTCGGTAATATCTAGTCAGTCAGAGTAATGATTCTCCGATACATCTGATGTCGTTCTCAAACACTGTCGGTAATATCTAGTCAGTCAGGGTAATGATTCTCCGATACATCTGATGTCGTTCTCAAACACTGTCGGTAATATCTAGTCAGTCAGAGTAATAATTCTCAGTACATCTGATGTCGTTCTCAAACACTGACAGTAATATCTAGTCAGTCAGAGTAATGATTCTCCGATACATCTGATGTCGTTCTCAAACACTGACAGTAATATCTAGTCAGTCAGGGTAATAATTCTCCAGTACATCTGATGTCGTTCTCAAACACTGTCGGTAATATCTAGTCAGTCAGGGTAATAATTCTCCAGTACATCTGATGTCGTTTTCAAACACTGACAGTAATATCTAGTCAGTCAGAGTAATAATTCTCCGATACATCTGATGTCGTTCTCAAGCACTGTCGGTAATATCTAGTCAGTCAGAGTAATAATTCTCCAGTACATCTGATGTCGTTCTCAAACACTGTCGGTAATATCTAGTCAGTCAGAGTAATAATTCTCAGTACATCTGATGTCGTTTTCAAACACTGACAGTAATATCTAGTCAGTCAGGGTAATGATTCTCCGATACATCTGATGTCGTTCTCAAACACTGTCGGTAATATCTAGTCAGTCAGAGTAATAATTCTCAGTACATCTGATGTCGTTTTCAAACACTGACAGTAGTATCTAGTCAGTCAGGGTAATGATTCTCCGATACATCTGATGTCGTTCTCAAACACTGTCGGTAAAATCTAGTCAGTCAGAGTAATGATTCTCAGTACATCTGATGTCGTTTTCAAACACTGTCGGTAATATCTAGTCAGTCAGAGTAATGATTCTCAGTACATCTGATGTCGTTCTCAAACACTGTCGGTAATATCTAGTCAGTCAGAGTAATAATTCTCAGTACATCTGATGTCGTTCTCAAACACTGTCGGTAATATCTAGTCAGTCAGGGTAATAATTCTCCGATACATCTGATGCCGTCTCAAACACTGTCGGTAATATCTAGTCAGTCAGAGTAATGATTCTCCGATACATCTGATGCCGTCTCAAACACTGTCGGTAATATCTAGTCAGTCAGGGTAATGATTCTCCAATACTTCTGATGTCGTTTTCAAACACTGACAGTAATATCTACTCAGTTACAGTCATAATTCTCCGATACATCTGATGTCGTTCTCAAACACTGACAATAATATCTAGTCAGAGTAATAATTCTCCGATAATCTGATGTCGTTCTCAAGCACTGACACTTGCCAACGTAAAACAAGTTCATACACCGTGAAGTATTAATCAACATTGGTAAGCACCGCACGATTTGCTTCCCTTGACTAAGTATGAAAGACGTTAGATTTACCTCCCTTGTTATTCTCTTGATGGTGTTATGTGTTCCCCAGATCACGTCTGCTTGGCGTATTGTTGCTACCAAAGTCATTTCCCCTTAGTGTATTGTGGCTACCTCAGGTCACCTCCAGCCTTTACGTTTTTGTAGCTACCTCAGGTCACCTCCAGCCTTTACTTTCTTGTAGCTACCTCAGGTCACCTCCAGCCTTTACGTTTTTGTAGCTACCTCAGGTCACCTCCAGCCTTTACGTTGTTGTAGCTGCCTCAGGTCACCTCCAGCCTTTACGTTGTTGTAGCTGCCTCAGGTCACCTCCAGCCTTTACGTTTTTGTAGCAACCTCAGGTCACCTCTCTCCAAAGTATTATGTCTATCCCAAGTCATCCGTTTTTTACGTACTGTGCCTCCCATGGTTACCTCCTGTTTATGTATTGTGACTCCCCTAGTCACCTCCTGTTTACGTATTGTGGCTCCCCTGGTCATCTCCTGTTTACCTATTGTGGCTCCCCTGGTCACCTCCTGTTTACGGTTTTTGACTCCCCTGGTTACTTCCTGTTTACTTATTGTGGCTCCCCTGGTCACCTCCTATTTA